TTTCAATTGTCTTCCTTCCACCACCAGCTGGCTGATCTTGTATTGCGGAATTAAAGATCCATTTAGCGCCCAACATCACCTCCCTGAATAATTATCCTAGATGGTGATTAAATGGTGTTTTCTCACTTTGATAAACAGAACAGAATGTATTCCTCTAGTCTCTCACTGCAAGCAATTGTGTAAACACAGGTTTTATATTAATTTATCTAGAAGAGACTAAGCTAATTGGTAGAATTTTCCTCCCTTCTGAGTGCAGAAGCAACTGTAGCACCATATATGCAAAGATCTATGTGTTTTGTGATGCATCAATAGTTGGGTTATTTGGCATATTCCTGTCTTCATACAGATACTCTTATGCTACAAAGATTACTTGGTACATATGGTATAAAACCTGTGTGCAGACAAGCCTAAGGGCAGAAATTATGTGCTATGAACCAGTCCTTCTTTGAGTGCTCTCCAATTTTTCCACATAATTTTGTATGTGTATGCCCCAGAAGCAGTGGTCACACATGCCTAAAGGACACCCTTTCCCATCTCTAATATTTTTCTTCTGCCCAGTGTCAGAGTGGGATCTCCTGTTCAGAGCATCTGTTACAACACTGGAGACAGTGAGAGCTTCGCAGGGTCTCTCAAAGTCTAAATGCTCTTGGATCTCCTCAACACGTGGCAAATATTTCTTATCTTACTGGCAAATAGGCAATGGTTCTTGCATGAGCAAGACTTTGCAAAACAAATGGGAAACTCATTAGACCTCAGCCACTTTGGGGGTAGCAGTATTGGGTGACTTCCCCCAGCCAACACCAGCCAGTTCTGACAGTAGGTGCCAAAAGCAAAGGAGGTGGAGAAAACCCACATGAGACCTGAGCACCAGGAGCATCACAAATCCACAAGTTTAGGCCCCTACAATGCCCACATCTCCCCAGACCACTGAGGGACAGCAGTGCTCAGCACCTGGGAGATAAACATCACTGGTGTGAGGCTGTGCTTGGCACCTGACTATGGGCATACATACAGGAGGCTCCCTCGGGGCCCCAGTATCTCTGAGGACATGCTTGTGGGTAGTCTGGGACAGGCACAACCATCGAGAGAGAGATCTGACCCAAGAGGTCAGGACACCCAAAGGGGTCTGTCCTGCTGTGCTCCCTCCCACTCCATCTTTCAGCCAGAGATGCCTGAGCTGGGCTATACCACCATGGCCAGCACAGCAGCTGAGCTGTTGTGCAGCTCATGATGCAGGGACATCCATGCTAAAGGAAATCCTGCTGGTAAGGAATATCCTGAACCATTCCTGCTGCCAGTCCCACCTCATCTCCACTCCAGAGGCAGTTTTATGCATCCCGAGCCTCCAGCGTCCCTCTGTGCAGCCTCACCAGCCATTGCTTGAGGCCTTCCTGCAGGGCTACCAGCAGGTTTTTTTGATATTTCCTGTCTCTGTAACCAGCTGTTTAGGGATGTGCCTCAATTTGCAGTGATTGCTTTCCCACTGTTTTTCCCTCCTGTGTCAAAGAGGAGCTGGAGAGGTCAGGGAGGCCCAGGGGCAGTCTCAGAGGCACTGCTGGGACCTGACTACTCTGAACAGCCCCCTGCAAGTTTCCCTGTCAGGCATCTTATCCTGTTACCAACCTGTCAATAGCCTAATGCCTGCTTTGTCCCAACCCCTCCCCCCTGTTTCTGTAGTAATGGAAATCAATGAACTTATTCAGAAAAGACAACTTTTGGAAGCATTTGCAAGTATCAAATTAATGGAAGATGAGACTATCTCTGAACGGGATTCTGAGAAATACATTGATAACCCCCAGGAGTTTGTACGGAAATCCAAGGATGTGGATTTGCTTTATAACTCCATCACAAATGCAATCCAGTCCATAGTGGAGGCAACACTGGAGGATCCCACTGTACAGCATACCATGCTGACCTCCATGGTGACTTTAATTGCCCACGAAGAAGCAGCTCATCCCAAGGCAGACAATACTGCTCGTCCTGGGTCGGATTTGCTCGGCAGGCCCAGAAAGTGGAGGGAACAATGGAGGGAAGCTGTCAACGAAAGTGCAAGGAAAAGAGTCCTGAAGGCACCCATGGCACCAAGGGAAGAAGCAACTTCTTGGCTTGATCTCCATCTACATTTCCTCCAGGAACACCTGAGGGAAGATTTACTGAAAGTCAAGTCATCAGTGAAAGAATGCTATCCAGAGGAGTACCAGGTGTGTGACACGTATGTGGAAGCTTTTCATAATGCCATTGCCTCACATTTGCAAGAACTCTCCCAGGGACCACTGGAATTCCATGAGCTCTACACCTTGCTTGACTGGGTAGCCAACACCTACCACAGGTGAGCTGCTGGGTTTGCCACAGTGCCTCCTGCCTCCTCCAGGGAGCCATGGGGCTGTGGGGTACTCCAAAATCACCAAGCTGTTCTCAGTTTTCCAAGCAAGTGGAGCCAGATAGCAAATCTGTTAATAGGTGGGGACAAAGGTCTGTGGATAAAAGTCTTGCTGTTTTTTACAGATCTACATCACCCCATTTTCCCATCCCTCTCCCTCTTGCTGTTCCCATTCCCAGGAAGCTCCTCCCTGCATTTGATAAACCTGCTCTGATAAACCTGTTCCTTTCTGTATATATTTTGCAAGATCTAACAGCTGTTCAGTGACTTTTCCAGGCACAGGCAGGGGCCTGTGGGGGAGGTCTTCTTCCTGTTTAATTAAAATTGTCGTGCATTTGGAAATGGGCCACGTTAATCCCCATGCATGGGATCAGAGTCCCCTTAAAGAGGAGTCAAGGCATCATCGAGGGTAATTAGACACATGAAAACAAAGGCTCTGTCTCAGCTGTGTCTGCTGGTTGAATGGGAGGGGTTTAAGACACAGCTCCTTGCAGTTCAGGGGTCTGGAAAATAAGCATGTGAAAACAGTTATGTCAAAGAAAATTTGTGTCTGTCCTGGTAGCTTACAGGTATGGCTTGAATCAGATGTTCAAGGCAGGGACAAACACAAACCCATTGGCAGCCCTCAAATAAAACAAAGAAGGAGCGAAGGCAGGAGAATCAGTGCTCAGCCAAACAGTCGGTCCAAATGGTCAGAAAGGGGGCAGTGGCAGAGCAGGGCAAGCAGCAGCACACTGTTTCGAGACCACCCCTAGCCTGAGGCTGCTTTTGGGTAAGAAACATTTGCACTGCAGGTGGTCTTTGTTTTGAACAGCCCTCAACAGGTTTCTCCTGTGAACTTACCCAGTTGCTCTTAAAACCCCACCTAGAGTGTGGTGACCATACTGATGTATGTAACCCTGTCAGCATCACAAATCCCTGCAGATCTCATCTGAAGGGAACTCATGCATGGCCCCACCCGGGCATCGCAGGAGAGCAGGGAAAGAAATGAGCTTCAGCAGCCAGGTTCTGTACCAAAGAAAAGTGCCCCTACCATATTTCTCTAAATTGCTGTGGAGGGTTTATTGAGAGTTTGCAATTGTTTTGGGCACTGCTTGCAATCACCTGGCTGTTCTGGGCTGCCTCCATTTGATTTTCCCATTCAAAAAAACTTCATTGTCTCTTGGAATAAATAATCAAAAAGGAACAGATTGATTGACCCAAATTCATTATTGATGATAAAATTCAAACAAATGAAAAACAAGGAAAAAAAAAAGAGGTGGGAATAAGCCCCTTGAGTACACATTTGAGACTGTCCTTTGAGTTGTGGTGGAGAGTTTGTATCTGTGTTGTCCTTTAGAATGAGCAGCAGGCTCTGGCAACAGCTGGGTTGTGCAATGCTCCACATGTGGAGATGTTCCTCTCTGGGAAATCTGAACCATGACCATGGAAACATTGACTCCAGGACACTATCAGCAGGCTGAATTTATTTTCTGCTGAGCAGTCACTCTGCAGCAGCCTGACCTTTTACACTGCAGTCCTCACTTGTATCTGAACCTAACTGTGGGTGCAGTGCTGGTGTGGCAAGGGAAACCCTTTTTGGTGGCTGAGCAAATGTGCAGGCTGTGCGCAGGACACTGCAGCCGTGTTCCCAGATTAACAAACAACGCCTCAAAACTTTGGCCCCACCTTCATCAAGTGCACGAATATTTTCTTCTTTCTCTGTTCTGGCCTTCACAGCCCTGCAAGATGCAGTGCCTCCAGAGTCTGCAGCAGGTTGCAGGAGTAGCACATTCAATTGTACAGGCTAATAACGCTTTTCCTGCCCCAGAGAGAGGAACACAGGCACTCCCTCCCTTCCCCTGCTTCTGTGCTAATCAGCTGGCTTGAGTACATGTCAGTCCAGAGGAAAGTGAGCAGCAAAGTCACATGTCAGCTGAGCCCTCTTTGGAGTCAGGCTCTGTAGCTGCACGTCCACCCACCCCTTCCATCTGTAGGGGAACATGGCTCGTGTCCCAGGCATGGCAGTGACTTCCAGGTCCTGCTCTGCCACCTCCCCTGGCTCAGGATAACGCACAGAGACAAATCACAGGCTGACACGAGCTGTGATATGACACCGCAGAGGAGGCAGGGAGATGGGCTAACTCCAAAGCAACGCGCTACTACAGGAATTACCCTGAAAGGCATTCTGCAGGCTTCTAGTCAAATGAATCAGCTTCACGTTGTTTACTTTAAAAAGTAAATTCTCATAGCACTTTTCATGTCCAAACAACTCAGAAGTCTCATGATTTCTGAAGTGGGCTGGAACCTTAGATCATTTTGGGTTTGAATAATTAGGATTTTGAATAGAAAGGAAAGATTTTATTGTTAAACCTTGAAAACAAGCAGCACAATTTAAGCTTTAAGTATATTTCTCATGGCTTAGTAATTATGTAGCTCATGCTGCGTGAATATTCTGTCAGTTTATTCACACTCTGAGCCATTATAATTTGTTCATTTGATTCTTTCCAGTGAACACTTTCTGGGTCATCCCCAGCTCAAACCAGAGGTTAAGACAGAAAACCTGCCCTTGCTGTTAACACCAGCTGATTGGGATAAGCTGAAAAACGACTACATTGCTTCTGCAAAGGTGAGAGTTTTGACCTAGTCCCCACGTGCCCCCCAGGGAAGGTACAGGAATCCCAGCCTCCCAGACTTGGATGACTGCATTGTGGTTTCCAGCCCCACCAGGTGCTGAGTCCTACTGGCCCCACACAGAGTGGACTGTACTCTAAGGCAAAAAATTCCTGAATACCACCTTGGGGACCCAAGCAGAGCCAACAGGACTGTACCAGACCCACTCAGTATGGCAGACACTTACTGAAAGGTCGTAGCTGGGCTTCAGCAGATTGTACGTGTTGCAAAGTTAGGGGCAAATGCATTTTAGCAGCTACTGCCGCTCTGTGGGATCTCCTCCAGGACACCTGAGGTTTCCTATTGGCAGACTTGAGGCATCCCCACCAGAGGACACACTCATGGTTTGTGTCCTCTGATGAAGCAACTTCCCAGTTGTCTTTCTGCAGTCCTTGTCTGGCATGCTATATAAGACTTTCCTGGCTCTTTGCTGGGCTCAGACATTTTCCTGCAAATCATTTCTGAATCAGGGCACAGCTCAAGGTGAGCTCAAGGTACCCAGCTGAATGAAATCAGTATTTCTCCACCGTGCTGGTGAAAGATCACTTTGTTTCACCAAGCAACAAGATTGATTTTTCTGCCAGGACTGCTGCTGCTTACCTGACTGGCTGTGTCCTGCACAGGACTGGTTTGATCTTTAATCCTGACCTGGTGCATTCCATGTGCGGGAGGACTTAGCAATCAAACAGCTGACACACTGTTTCCCTGCCAGGAGAATGACTGATTTGGGAGTATCTTGCACAAACATAGCACAGCTCCTGATTTCGCCTGAGGTCTGGAGCAAGGCCTGTGACTGCTCACCTTTCCATGTGGTGCATGGTGCCTCACCACATGCTGATGGAGCAAAATGCAGTGAGGTACTGTACTCCTGCTTGCTTCATTATCCTGAGCTGCATGTTTCCTTCCTATGTGTAATGTTTAGGGGAAAATCGAAAGTTATTTTGGAAACATCCTGAGACTAGAGGTCACAGAGAAGTGGAAGAAGGAAGTTCATTCAGAAGAGAAGGAAAACCTCTACCACACCTCACTCTCTTTTGATATTCAAACGGTATTTAATTAGCTGGGGGAAAGTGGTGGTGGCGCCTCCTGTGATAATTTATGTAAGTCACATACTGGCAGAATACATTAGAGCAGAAAATGCCATTTATTACAACTTTTAGCTCTCCCGCTTGCCTTCTAGCTGCAAATTAAACCTGCTGTCAATTGTGTCAGCAACATAATAGGCAACTGATTTTAAAGTCCCTAAACCTCTTTGATTAGGAAGAAGAAAGAGAATTGGAAAAAAGGTGGAAAGAAAAGGTTTCTTTGAAAAAACCTTTGGCTTAAAGAGCAACTTTGTCCCAGGGCTGTGGAAGCTGGGGAAAGGCTGTAGGCAGTGACAGCCACTCCAATTTAAGCAGTACAAAAAACAAAAGCCCCTACTAGCTTTAGGGACTACAGGGTAATAAAGGCAGGAAGGGTTTGGATTAATTCTCATCACTCAATTGATTGAGTCACTTCAATTAAATAATACTAACAGAAAAAGAGAGGGAGAGAAAAAGAAAGAAAATCAAAGAGTTTTTTCTGCTAATGTGACTCTTTTTCCACAGAGGAATATTACACATTATGTGATCATAGGGAAGGCCGATCTGAATTGATTTAGCAGATGGATAGAATGGCATGGGAAGTACCAGAATAGGACTGCAACACACCTCAGTCCAGAAGTGTAGCTGGAGTTGTGGGAATGGGAATCTGGAAGGAGTTCCAGTGCAAACAAGAGCTCAGGGTGATGCCTGACCCTCTGTGCTGTCCTGAGAATGGGGCTTATGTGGACCCCCAGGGCTGGGGCTTATAGTCACCTTTATCATGGGGTCATACACAGGGACAGCTCAGCTCCCCTTGGGCTTTGGGTTGGGATCCCTCCAGCAATTCTCCCCAAAAGAGGAGGATGACACCAGGACACCTCAGAGCTCCAGCCAACACCACCTCTAACTCACACTCAGACAGAAAAAGGGCACGAGGGGTGAGTGATTACATCACAAATCATTTGGTGCTCCTTGGTCCGTTCTGCATTATAATTTTTTAAACTGCCAGAGATTAATGAAAATCTCCTGGCATCAAGTTGGCTGTTTGCCCCTTTGCTAGGTGAGCCATTCTTACTGACCAAAGCTGCATGAGATCCTTGTGAAAGATGTTCCACCAGTGCTTGTCCCACTCACTGGAGTTTCTTCATCCCCTTTTCTAGATCATCGGGCAGCACGTGAAGTTATCTGGAGCTATCAGCAGAAGCCTGGAAACAAAAATGCTTGAGTTGTGTATGGCAGAGCTGCTCAAATTCATACCAAGGTCATCACTGCTCTGGGCAGCACTTTCTTACTAAATGAATCCCACATTGGTAAAAAAAGAGGGAAAAGGTCCAGGCACTGGATCAGACACTGGCTGCTCCTGGGGGAATTAGAGATCACAATGAGCCCAGTTATAAGCAAGCTGCAAAACAACTTGGAGGGAGTCATAAATAGACCCAGATGGGACTCTTTGAGTCCAAAGATCTAATGTCAGAGCTCTGGGAAGTGTCTGCTATCTGGAAAGGGACAGGACCACTGCAGTCCCATCCACCTAGGACTTTTGTGACATTGGGTGCTGGTCACTTGCAGCTTCAGTTGTGAGCAAGCAATTGTTATGGACCCCTAAGACCAAAAGCCTGTTTGCCCAAAACATCATCCAGGTATCCTGGGGTGAGTCCTGCTGAGTGGTTTTCTCTGGCATCCCATGGCTGTGGGCATAAAAAATTGCTCATGAGACCCTCTCTGCTATACCCTGGCAAAAATACAGCTGGGCTGCCTCCTGAGTCCATTAAAATTTGCCCAGTGTCCAAAGGAAATTGCTGAAATAATGATTTTTCTTTTTTTCATTGTTCTTCTTTTCCCTTCTCTTTGTTCTCTCTTTCTTTTTTCCTTATTTTTTTTTCCTTTTCTTTCTTTTTTTTCTTTTTTTTTTAAGAAAACCTGTGTAAAATGCAAGCTGGGGCAGCCATGGCTCTCAGATTAAGTGAATGCTGAAACTTAAGCTTTTACTTAAACAAACTTGAGATGCCAGTAGCTGGGGCCAGTTCAAGCAGGTTTCTTTTACCCTGACAAAGAATGGAACCACCAGACAAAGCCTGCCTGAACACACTGCCTTCAGCATGGACCTGGCTGTGAAACAGCTGTTAACCCCATGAAACTGGCAATACACAAAAAACAAACCTAACAGCCATGCTGAGGTTTGGAGGGGGGGGAAAGGAAGGTAGGTGTGCTGCCCTATTCCTATAAAACTGTTATAAAATCAGCCCTGTGTGCTTAAAAGGCCCCAATATATATATTGCCCCAAAAGGCAGAGAAATTAAGGCTCAGACTTACAAACCTGTGTACCATACCTGCAATTAAACCCTCAGCATGAGGAAAAGTCAGGGATTTGGCCTCCCAACATCCCTGGCATCTCTCCAGAAGCGCTGCATACCTGCTCAGGCGAGCACATCCTAAACCCATAATTATCTGCCATCTATTCCCCTCCACTGCACACACGTTATGACAGCTGGAAAAAACTTGTCTGCATACAGAGGGGACAGGTTGGGCCAGCCACGGGTGTTTCCTGGCACCACCATGTACACAGAAGATGAGGCATCCTCAGTGCCCCCACTGTTAGTGATACCTGGGTGTATTTTCCTACAGGTTTGAGCAGGAGTTCATGGAGTGGAGCACTGCCCAGGACAGCCCCATCTTTGTGCCCTATCTTGTTGCCTACATCAACAGTTTCCATGACCTGGTGTAAGTCTGCTCCTGCCGAGCTGAACTGCGGCGTTTCTGGGGTCTGGGGGAGGGTGGCTGGAAAGACCAGGTTCTCCTTGAGGCGCCCCAGTGGGTGCTCAGCCTCCAGACCTTCTAATCTTATGGGAGGATTTCCCCAAAGGAATGCAAAAAAAAGCCACAAGGATTAAGAGACAGAAATTTGGATGGATGCAGTGCTTGCATGAGAGTTTTGAACTCATTTTCAGAGCATCTTTTTCATCCTTGGGGGAAGTTTTTCCTTTTTTTTTTTGTCTGGAGGTTAGCAGAATAAACTCAGAATCATGGCCTCAAGGCTGCCTTTGGCACTGGGCTACAGGAAAATCTATGAAAGCACTCGACCTGAAAATAAATGCTTGCCATTGCCACTGGCATCTGGAATTACAGGGCTTTGCATGAATTAGTTTTTCAAGCCACGTGTTGGAAAGTGCCTCTGATGAACAGGTATCATCAGGCTGGCTGTGAAAGGTCTATCACTCACCCCATAAGTAGGATGGTGCCAGTAAGTGCATGTCCCAGGGTCTGGTCCATCAGCCCCGTGCTGAGGCCCAGAGGCTCAGCAGCATCCTCTCAGCATCATCTTTGCCGTGCAGATGTGGTGCTTTTGTTTGTCATTCTGGCAAAGCACCACAGGACTAGCGCGTGGGCTCTGGCCACCAGAAAGATTGGGTTGTGATCTGCAGCCCCTGCTCCGGCTGGGACTCATCTGTCAGGTATTCTTCAGGGGATGGAGGGGATTTCGTGCTCGGTGCCTCCCAGGAGCAGACGGCTCCAGCCGCAGCGAGCACTACCGCCAGGAAGGCTCTAGATGGCACGGTCTCTCCAGCAATGCTCACCTCGCCGAGGAAATGGCTTTCCCTGCCTCCTGCTGCCCCGCGGGACATTGCTGCCCCTTCCTGCTGAGCAGTGCAGAGGGGGAGAGGGGAGACGCCAGCCCCGGGCAGGGAGCTGGCGGTGTTTGGGCGATGGCTTTATCCCTGACTCAAGTTAAACGTTTATCAGCCTGGGGTGATGAGTAGTGGGGCAGAGGTAGGTGTCCTAACAGCACGATTTTTGGCTGCTGGACCCAAACTCCAGGTGTTCAACCGGAGTTACAGTCCTGAGCTCCAGCCTGGAATGACAGGGAATGGCGCTGGGTTCTTTATAGTCCTGCCAGGGCAGCCTCAGCCACATAAATCTGGGCAGTGACAGGAACCTTCTGGTCTCTCTGTTTACAGCAGTGGATGTGGCACACCCAGGGATGCTCAGGCATCACTGGTGATGCCTTTTTTTGTGGTGGTGCTGCCTCAGTTTCCCCCCTCACCAACAATGAGCACGTCACAGTCGGACAGGGATGGAAAGTGAGAAGAAAGTCAGGAGGTCACAATGTTCCTAAAGTGCACACACACACACACACTGGGTATTTCATTAACCTCTCAGAAGTTTTCTTTCTCAAAAGGTGAAACATTGCAGAAGTATACACTGTCCTTAGGAAAGTCCACAGGTTTCCATCCCTGTAGTTACCGTCCCAGCTGCTGCTGACATTGTATGGAGTGAATCAGACAGGCTCTGGGGGACACAGGGTCAGCAGCTTTCCCTTCTATGGCTTCATATTTACTTTTTCCCCACAGCCCTCAGTTCTCCCCCAGGTACCAGGAAATCATTTCACAGAGGTGTTGCTCAAGTGAAAAAGCAACTGGCCTACGCAACTGCTCCACATGGCTGCACTGTCCCACCTGATGAGGAAATCTGAGGGGGCTTTTAACCGCAGTTACTCATCTATGATTAATTTTCAGTGTACAGGATTGTGCAAAAAGAGCCATTACTTTGACTCAGCAAGTGTTTCCAAGAGGAAGTAGTAGAAACACAAGTTTATTTAAAAATAATATCCAACATGCCAATCCAGATAACACCCTTAGAGCTGTGTAATAGTTTATATTTTAACATTAACTCATTGGTGATCTCTGTCCTTTTGTAGGTCAGGGTTAGAAACAGCGTTTAAAGTCAATACTGAGGAACTGCAGAAGATTTTGGCAGCTCTGACAAGGAACTTCACAAATCATTTTTTAACAAAATTAAGAACAAAAATACAGGTAAGGTGATCTTGGCCACATTATTTCTTCAATATAAGGGTTATATGCAGCAGCTGAGGATCATTGCCCTTCCCTTGTCTCACCAACTAAATCTCATTTTGCAGCACATGACATTATGGTCCCTCCAAAATGCATTTAACACTTGTGGAAATCCCCATTAAAAATCAATACTTCCAGCATCCTGGGAATTTTTTGCCATGAGCAATGCCACATTTTTTAAGCTGTTAATAACAATCAAAAGAAAAAGATATTTAGCAGCTTCCAATCTCTCAGGCAAAGCAGTGGGGAAAATCTTATCCAAAGTGAAGCACTAGAGAGGCAAGCTGAACACCACCAATGGGACACTTTTCCTTCTGTCAAATCATTGGATTTTTTGGGACTTTGACTTACTGATTCATAGATCTACCATCACAGTCTGTCAGAAACCTCTTTGGATAGGACAGAATTCATTCTGGTAGGGGTGGTTTTTCTCGGCTGTTCCCATGGTGACAAAAGACTGATTGTTCCAGAATGAGGATGCTAAAGATCTTGTATCAACTGATAAAACTCTGATAAAATTTAGCTTGTGTTAAAAGAACACTGTGCTGCAGTGGAGTTTGTGCTTCTCAGAGCCTTTCTGCTCCCAGCCAGCTGGGGTCTGCTAGCTCCAGCTGGTATTATGGAAGATGGGGGAAATCAAACCTTTGGCCCCATCCCTTTAATCTTATCCTAATTCACTTTCTAAATCCCCAAATATAACTTCCAGAAACCAAGACAGTCATGGAATTTCTCCAACGTAAACCATGCCCTCCTGGCCAAGGGGACTTTCCAGTGACTGCAGATCTTGTCTTAGGAGCTAAACAGCAGGCAAGGAAAGGCCCCAAGCCAAGGCATTGAGCAAGAAAGCTGAAATGTCGTGAGAACTGAGAGAGGCAGAGTCAAAGCATTTCTAAACAGCTCTCCAGCAGGCTGGGAACACAGCAAGGGGGGAAATAATTGGGAAGGAGATTGCCAGGAGTCTAAAAACAACAATCATGAGAGCTAGTAAGAGAAAACGGGACATGCTAGAGGAAGAATATTTTGCATTTGGCCTTTAGGGAAGTCTCCTCCAGATGCCAGAAGTTTTTTGCAGATATTGCTGTTTCTGTATGAAGGTACATTAGCTCTAGGGACCCAGCAAAGGGAAGAACCCTTTTGAGGACACATGGTCAGAGTACCTTATATCCAGGACAGATGGGAAACAGTGCCATCACTCCCATGAGGCATGAAGCTGGAGATGCTCCCAGCTCCCATTCCCCCCACCACCACATCAGAGCAAGGAGCAGAAGAAAAATCCCAGCAAGACTTCATGCAGGTCTGCAGGAGTACAGACAGCCTCCTGGAAGGGCTGTGAACACAAAGAGCTTGACTTCCTTATGGAGAAGGCTGTCCTTAAGTCCTTCCTTATGGAGAAGGCTGTCCTAAGTAATCCTTAGGATTACTGGGCTAATTTCCAGGAGATTTACTATCAAGTGACTTCTTGTTTCCATAGCTGGTGCAAGGCCATGTAACACTGGCTTTCATGGTTGCTCACCACAGTATGTTCTAGTCATGCCCGAGTTGCTTGTGATTAACATGCTCATCTCTTTCTTCCCCAATACCTTAGAGAAACAAATTTATTTACCTAAAGAAATAGAGCTGGTGGATCAGAAGGTGGCACAGAGCAAGGAAATGAGGTATCCCAAATAAGGCTTTAATGTCAAAACATCTGCTCAGGGTGTGATGCTTCTCCTCTCTGCACTGGGATGCCTACCCAGGAAGGGGAGACATGGGTGTGAATTCCCTGGGGTGGAGAAAGAAACCCAGCCTGTTCCTCGTGTCTTCATGCAGAGGGGGTGCTCTGTGCTTTCAGTTCAAGCTTGAGATCAGGGGTATAGGTGGGTGCCTTCAGCTAGGACATCATGATCTCGTCTGAATACACCTGTGCCATCAGTGAGTTGGTCTTTTTTCAGCCACTCCTTAAGAAAATCCTGACCAAGAACTGGATTTTGGAGACAGAAAGGCCGGTCTCACTGGCGTTGGCAGTCTCGCAGTTCTCTGAGCACCTGCAGCACATGAGGGAGCCCCTGGGCCAGGTAGGCAGCCAGTCCCACACCTGGGCACAGGGATGCTGAGGGGTTACACCATCATTTTCAGGCTGAGGTAAGACCTGCAGACTCCTCTGCAACAGCGGTTATTCTTTATAACTGTGGGGGCTGCAGGTATGAGTGAGCGTGTGCTGCCTTCCTGTACCTCCTCTATGCCCTCAGGTGCTGCCAAAGACCTGAGGGCTTTCCCTGCCCTCTCTGACTGCCTTGGCTTTGAATGGACAAAAAAAAACATGAGGTTTGCTTCTTTTTAACCAGGAGCTTCTACATGAAGTTCATAAATACATGGTGAAGGAATACATCACACAGGTCATCAAACCCAGATGGAAAATGAACAGGGAGACACGTCAGCAAGTGAGCAGAAAGATGAGCCTGGAAGCTGCAATCATTCACAATACACTCATGGATCAGGTATGTGAGCTGTCTCCTGGCATCCCCTGGCTGCCCCACTCCCAGAGGTTCCCACCTGGCTTCACAGAGTTCACTTCTCTTGAGGAGCACAAGCCTCAAGAAATAAAAGTGCTGAAAAGAAAGTGAGCAAAGTGGTTACTGAAGGTTCATGGTGTGGGTTTCCAGCCTGGCAGCCTCTCTGCATTGGCAGCTTCTGCATGTTCAGCCAGCAGCTCTCTGATGGCTGCACCTGGTTTTAACATGTTCCCTGGGAGCTTTGCACAGGGTGGTTCATGTGCTGTAGGACCACACTCATCCTGTGGCAGCTTCTTCCTGGGCCTCTTCCTCAGGCCATGGGATGCACTTTGTCACCAAAGGATCCTGAGAAGTTCCATCTGGGTACACAATCTGTGTACAGCAGGGTGTAGGGAGAAAGTGGTGGCAGTCTAAGGGGGTAAGTGAGGTACCTGTTAATAAATCCCTTGGGCCAAATTAGAGTGGCACAACACTGAATGACCAGTGTGAGATATATAGATGGAAAGAGAGAGAGAGATTAGATAGATAAACAGACAGACAGACAGACAGATAGACAGACAGACAAACAGACAGAGAGATAGATAGATAGATAGATAGATAGATAGATAGATAGATAGATAGATAGATAGATAGATAGATAGATAGATGTGTGTATATGGCTGGTTTATTTTAAAACAATTTGATTACAATGGAAAGGAGGTATGTAGCAATTTTGGTTATTACTTATATTAATATAACAATATAAGAGTATAAAAATATCACTTAGGAAAATATATAAGGAAAAGAAAGAAAGGATAAGAGCATATAGCAGAGGGGAAAGGTATCACCACCTGTGGATTCAGCAACATGACTTGATTGCTGCAGTTTAGGTATCTGTTGTTCAAAACAATGAATGCAGTTGGTTGACTCATTAGCCCTTAACATTTCTGTCTCTCACAGCAACGTCAGGGATTTTCAGAAAAGGAAGTAAAATTTTAATTAATTTGGTTTTGTGGAAAGTCAGGTATCCAGGGTACTAGTATCCCACCTCAGAGATGAGGCACATGAAACTGTGAGGCAGCAGGAAGTATTTGGCTTCTGCTGCTATGCTGGACCAA